TTCAAAGGAACTGCAACTGGAATTCCCATGACCATGCCTGTACTTCAACCCGCAACAACCAAAAAAAAACCCATCTGATTGGCCAGAGAACAGTCACATGTCCGATTTAGTTTCATTTTGAACGAAATTCGGACGGATCCGACTTTTCATTAAAGGAACATTTGTATTCGTTCACATTTGGACACGTTTGAATTTGGAAATTCGGATGTATCGAAATGTCCGAATTTAATCAAAATTGTGTGAATATACATTCGGAATTAAATGAAATTTACATGTCTAGTATACATTAGGACTTTTTTTAGCTTCGGCCCCAGAGACCTTTGGTTCAGTCGAAACGAAGGGCTGCTGTACGGGCTATTCAGCATAGCCCGTACAGCTCCCAGAGCTGGCCGAGCGGCTCAGCCGGGCCGAAGGCATATGCTTCGGCTCGACTGAAGTGACACCCGGCCGAAAGCCTTGCAAATGACAGTTGCAATGATAGATCTGCATTAAACAATAACAACTGGGCGGAGCCGGTTGTGACCTGCTAGAAGACTCTAGCAGGTACCGGCCAATAGGAAACAGTTTTTTGTTTTTTTTTAAAGAAATCTTTATTAATTAATTTTAATTTATAATTTATTTACATTTTTAACCTTTTTTTTTTCCTACTTTTTTTTTCTTTCAAATTTTTTTTACTGATTTTCTATTCTGCTCGGTACCATAGAGGTACCGAGCAGAATAGCTGAGCCGAATGCCGCTCGGCAGCATTCAGCTATTCACTCACTACCATTTGGCCCCTATGAGAATAGGCCGACCGGCAGCAAGTAGCCTGCCGGAGGTTCGGCTCAGCCGATCCAGATGTTGTCAGTTGAGTCGAACGTGTTCTTCACTTCGGCTCAGTCGAACATGCTCGGCATGTTCGGCTAAACCGAAGCCAGCGAAGCCAGCCGATGCACAGCTGATTTCAGGCTGAAATCAGCTGCACAAGTCCGAAGTGAATTGCCGAACAGCTCACTTCACTTCGGGTGGGTTACTCACTCGGCTGCCTTCGGCAGCTTTGTGAATAACCCTCTAAGCCATCATGTATTTACCTTTCACCAGGAGATGACTATTTTTTATAGAACCAAGAAAAAGAAATAGAGGACTGCATAGATTTATTGTACAATGTTTAGTTATGTGTTGAGATGTGATTGTTATGTATTTCTTTGTATAGATGATAGTTATTTTTTAAATATTAACCACACTACGTCCTTTATTGCTCAACGTATTTATACAGCTTTTGCATTCTAAGTTATTAGAGTGCCTCATTATATGTAGCCGAGGGAGCAGATATACAGAACGTGCAGATGACTAGTATGCTATATTGATTCTGCAGTATTGCGTTTGTATTTTTGCACCTATGTGGACATTTGTTTGCTTAGAGTGCACAGTACAACATTATGAAACAACTCTTGATCTAGGGATTATGAGGATTTCCACTAAGCTCTTTTTTTAACTATTTCAAAGCATCGACGGCACCGTCGTCCTCTATTGGTCTGTTCAATGCGACCCTTGGTCTGTAACAGTTAATGAAAATAAGTGTCATGCAGCAAAGTGCATTGAGTAAATAAGCAGTTTATGTAGCAGAATGGGATAGCTTCCTTTCCAGTCAAGACTGGAAACATGGTGAGAGCCGTTTCCTCTTCCCCGCTACCTTCCTGATTTCTTATTACAACAATAACATCGGCAGAATTGTCTTGTTCCAAAAATTGCAGTACATACTGTTGTAAATGAAAATATACTTCACTATCACGTCAGCACAGTAGAAGCAGACCTTATTCTGGGTTCAAGCAATCTTCAAGTAATCTCTATCCTATGCACTAATGACATCACTGTCTGTAGTATGAGATATTTAATACAACTTACCCTATAGCAATGTCACTTGTTTTTTGAAAATTGATAGACTGAATGCTGTTTCAGTTCACTAAATGGCTGGCATCACTGTTTTTAGGGTACAGGTAAAAATGTAAGATCCCGTTCATACCAGGATCGATGGGGCTGCCTTCAGGGCCATATTTACTTATTTACTTTCTCTGCTGCCCCACGGCCAGGTTAC